GGTTCAGCAATGTTCACAAGAACAAATGACCAAACAAGAGTGTTGAACTACTAGTTTAAAAATCTATGCAGATGTTTCATGGAAAATAACAGGACATAGCGGGACCAAAGTGTTTCAAGAGTGAAAGAAGAAGCTTCTACTACCTGGAGAGTGATACAAACGTCAAGCCCGTTTTTGCGGTGTCATGAAATAGGTGGGATCATGATTAGTTCTACAGTCGTAGAATTCCAGAGCTTGATTGCCTTTTATTTTTATTTTTATTTCCTTTTCACTTATTATTAGCAAGTTTTCTTTCTCGGTTGCTTCCTTTTAAGATTCTTACCTATTCTCTAGTTTCTAATTAGGATTTTTTTAGGGGGAATTATTTAAATGTGTTTCTTTTATTTTTTTTTAGACTTTTAGCGATTCTTATTATGTTTAAAGATATTATTTGTCTTATGCTCTCTGGAGTGTTGTATAATCTTTTCTTTTACAAGTGTTGTGTTCGTATCTTGCTCGGTAACAGGTGGTGGATCCCCCTCGCCGTTTCGCCATCAACCCACTATTTTGAGTCCGAAAAGCACCCGAATCACCCCCCCAAACCTTCCAAACACAGTACTCATTGTCTTCAGCTAGGCAGTCGTCTTTGCTCTGCTACTGCCATTTGACAACAGCAAACTGCCGTTGGCAGCGGAAAAAAGTTGATGTTTTCTGTTCCGGATCACTATCCCATCATCATACACACCAGAATTTCAGTTGCCATCCATCCTCCCTCTCTCGTTACCCATCCTACAATTTCCCAAACGTCTTTTTGGATTCTCTTACACTTTCTAAGAGCCCTATAACTGTATCACCGCACTTCATATCCGTGCACTAGAATGAAAACAATGGTTGGAAAGATCAGTTAGGGTTGTTGGCAGGGCTTTTCTGTGCAAGAATTTTACCATTCACATCTATTTCCTACAGTTCTATCCTTCCACCTCAATTTCCTGAAGCCAATTAGCTTCTGAGCTTCTACATGCAAATAACTAGTCTTAAAAAGGGAAGAAAAACAAAATGATGTGTTGATTTCGATGAAGAAGATGCACCTGAGATAACTGTGTAAGAATCGATAGCATGGCTTATTAATTTTTGATTATTTGAGTTTGTTATTGTTTCTTATGCACCTGAGATAACTGTGTAAGAATCGATAGCATGACTTATTAATTTTTGATTATTTCACACTTTAAATGTTGGCTCTGAAAATTCGATGCCCCACCTCCCTCAAAAAGAAATGAAAATGAATGGAAAGCTTACATGAATTTTTGGGGTCAAATTTTCAGAAGCTCGATGAGATAGTAAATAAGACAATGCTTAAGAGATTTCACCCACACTTTGCAAGGGCTTTAAGATATCGGGTTCAATATTTCTCATAAGCGAAACCTCTTATAGTTAATTATCCAGCCCAATAATGGGAGAACACTTTCGATTAAAATTAATCATTAGGTGCTAAGTATAATTTAGCATGTAGTAGCAACATATGATGTTAATAGAAGTCTAAGAGGACCACAAGTGCAATAATCTCCAATTGAAAAGCATTATTTGTTGTTGATCTTTGTAACTCAAAAGCTTCGACATTATATGTTGTCTCATAAAAACACTCTATCTCAAGGATAGATCCATTGAAACTCTTGATATAAGATCAACATTGATAGGTTGCTTGGTTTGATGAGCAATTCTTCTCTTGCAGTTTGACATCATGTATGTTCCCCAAAAGTGATTTGAGCTTGAATTGGTGTGCATTGCGCTACTAGTTCATCATTCACATCGTGTCTAATCGATTCAACTCATGGATCATTTATAGAGGTCAACAACTTACCTTTAATGTAAGTTTACAATATTGTCTTGCCCCTAACCCACCTATAAATAGATAGTCGGAGGGTTGAAGCCTCGGGATACAGTTGGCTGTATCGACTCTATACTTTCAAGTAATAAAAAAATCACTAAGCTTTTCCATGCCCTCTCTACATTTTGCAACCAATCTCACGTTTAAGGCCCGGGTTTCGCCTACGAAAAAATTTGAATTCACAAATTAAAACTTAGGACTAGTGAAGAACTCAAACGTTTTTTGCAAGACCGAGTATTTTTATTGTTTGAATTTCATGAAAATGAATCAAACTTTATATTGTAACAAGGATAGAAGAAATGAATATGGATGTGGTTTCCCAATCTAACTTAAGCATAAATTATTAATTACAAAATTTATTAGAATATAGACAGATCCATCTCAAAACAATTACCACAAATTCAAAAATAAAAATAAAGTATTTTATTAAAAATAATCAAATTCTTCAAAATTTCTTCAGTGGTATAATATATGCTTATTTTGATTATTTTAAAGTTAAGCCTCTAATAATGCCCGTACAATAGCACAAAACTAAAGCTTAAAATATTATTTAAATTGGTAATAATCTTCTAATCATTGAGCATAATGAGTATTTGTTATTAAGAAAATACCATGAAAATTTTTTATAAAAGAATTATAGGAACAAACAAGTAATAATAGCATACCCGAGGAAATAATCCATTAAACATTCATTAAGGTATTATATATTTTTTGAAGAAATTGATAGACTAATTAGATTAGTACTCAAAAATGATAAAGATGAAATAATTCAGTGAATCTTTCTCATTTATCTCTTATCAAGCTCTTACGAAAATAGTCCATCATTCCAAGACCATAAATGGTGGAGATTTCAAGAAGATAAAAATCAGCACAATATCTTATGGCAAAGTAATGTTGCTAACAATAACTCATAAAATTCCATACTCATCATCATCAATAACCATAATCCAACAAGTTGGGGTCGTCATTATAAATACTTATTTTCCATTAGCCCCTACCAAGCAGTTTATGATGCAAAGGTTTTTTAACCGTACGTCGAATAGGTTGAAAGAAAGTTAAAAGTTAAAAGTTCAAAATTCAAATATTGAATTGGGATCCAAAATAAACCATGAAGATGTAAATATTATTAAAGGATTGCTTGTTTGTAAGTATCATGGGTGTACTATAAAACAAATGTAGGATTTTTTAGTGTTTCCATGTTTAGTTGCAAGGTAAATTATTAAGATATTTAGAATTGATTGAATGGCTTAGTTTTTATACATTTGGAATTCGCTTGAACCGAGCAAATTTCAAATACAATACATATGAAGCAGCAATGAAGCCTCTCACTCACTCACTCTCATCACTTTGCACGCCAAGAGCTAATTCCCTCGGATAATAGCGTAGCCATGACACCCCTAAACTCAAGCCATCATGACAATGCTGCCCCGACAAAGGTTGTCACTCGATCCTATTAATGCCACCCCATGTCACAATCTTCGATGGCGCTATAGCCGCTACTTGGTTAAATTTTTTTCTCTTATTTTTAATTCTTAATTTTACGACTTAAGCCAAATATAAGAAAATGACCCCTGAAGTTTAAATACATTGTGTATAAATTACATTGTATTAAAAAACACCTAATTTTCTTATGCTTTCAAACAAACAACCCTTTAAATTAATTTAAATTATTCACATGGTGTAATATTCATAATAATAATGATAAGCGATAAATGTATGTGTGCACATACATAAGTACGCATGTGCGTACGTACGTATGTGTATATACTTGTATGTGTAAGCGGGGATTTGTAGAACATGAAATATAGCACATATATATCAAATAAGTCCCAAAAAAAAACATATGCTAACAAAATCTCTCCATTGCAACTTTTAGTCAAACCTCTTCAAGGGTCGAGCAATATAAGCACCAATTTTTACAAGTTAATTGTACATCGCTAAAAAATTGATTTATTAATCTATTCAAACAGATTTAAGGACGAGTTCCCGATCAAACGGGTTCAACCACCCAGCTCTATCCAAATTTCACAACCATGTCATGAGATGTTAAAAATATTTGGTGCAAATCTTGTATGTTGCCGTTGGCATAAGTCTTCCTTCCTGATTCTTTAAAACTTATTTTATCAACTCATCTTATTGGCAATTTTTAACCATTTGTCATATATCTGAATCAATCTATTATATTTTCAACTACTAAATATATTGCATTAGCACTGTCCCTCTAATAATCATTTCATGATTTTTTTTACTTCCTAATTTTGTTACCAAGAAATTTGAAATCCTGCCCATGAAACAAAAGGAGAATATTATTCCCACAAAAAAGTGGAAAATATTGAGCGAATAAAAAGATTAAAGATGAAAAAGAGTTTAATATACAAAAGTGGCATAGGTAAAGAGTCAATTCATAAGGTTTGTGTTAGAAAAGGTAATTTCTTGTTAAAAATTAAAGAAATAAGCCATGGTTACTTGATTCAATAAAGCAATTGAGACAAAAGAACAATTTCAAATTTTGAGTTGGCATAGTTGAAGTACTTGAAAAGTGTTAATATACTTCTTCTTTTTTTCCACGGATACAAACAAACGCACGTACCCCGCATATGAGAAGCCTTGAACTTAGGACCTCTTGGTTGAAAGACAAAACTCTCAGCCACTTGACTAAAGAAAGTTGCAAGTGTTAATATATTGATTATATGGTAACTACATGTTATGCCTCCTAAAGCCCATACTGATTTTCACAATTATTCAAATTGACAGGACCCCTCCAAATGCTAGCACCCAAGTGTTGGACAAAAGCCATAGTTTTTATTATTAATTTTCTTTTCAAATAAGACGAATTGATATGGGTCTTAACCATTTAGAAAATTTTCAAAAATTTTTAAAAATTTTTCTAAATGCATTAGAAATATTAGGGTACCAAAATCCAGATAACAAAAATCTCAAAAATACTGAAATTTTCATGGACCTAGTTGACTCGCCCAAAATTAGGAGAACAATACCTGCTTGTGGTTGATTGCAAGACTGAAAAGTACCGAAGCAATGAATTCGTGCCTTGAAAGGATAGCAGCAATAGCACCAATCGTAAGCCCCAGGCTAATACAATTATACTGCGCCCAATAGAAAATTCAGTAAAATATACAAAATCCCATCGGTACAAAAATGTGTGCAACTGTCGATATCAAAATCCAAATAAAAACCAACACCTGAAAATGTCCATGGTCGATGAGGATCAAGCATGGATTAAGCAAAATCATAGCCAGCAACCATGCCGAAGACCCTTCTCCCCCGTTCCCGCCAAATCTCCTGCAGTAAACCACTACAAAACAAACAGCAGCCGGGAAGAACACAAGTAAATCTGAAACAAGCACCGTCCACCTCATCAGAAGCTTCCTGTACTTACCATTCATCAGCTAAGCAGATTCAATCGGAATAAATGCGGAAGAAAAAGAAAATAACTCACGATCCATGTGATTCGAAACCGCGTGAGGTATTCAAGGCTAGGGATTCGGGCATCCAGAAATTCACGAGAAGAGCGTGGGCAAGGCTCTGATAGGCAGTGAGCGGAGGGTAATCGAGACCCCAGTAGGAAAGATTATTCGCGCTTGTATTGCGATACCACTCTCTCGCCGGCGTATGAAGCGTTATCTCCATCCAGTGGCGTTGCGCCTCGTAATCCCCGTACATGGGCGGTGTACCCTGGCCGGAATACGGGCCAAGCGAGACGAGAACGCGAACCAGCGCAGCAAAGAGGACGATTATCACCGATATCATCGGCGTTAGCGTCGTGCTCGACCATGGGAACTCGCTGGAGCTGCCGACTTCTTCCGTTCTCCGCTTCTTCCCCGCCATGGACCTCCCTCGGCTTGATTGCGGCTGTCAACTAGGTTTTCGCGGTTGTGCACTCGGACTAGAGAGTGTAAATAAATTCGAATTTATCCAATTTGGCTAATTTTTAATTAGCTATTTAGATGATTTATGTAATTATCTCTTAGCACCTCATGAACCTCTAGTGAACCATTATAATGTTTTTCTCCTATCTATTGCTACCAAATCTTCTAATTCCAGTGTTCTTAGATGGGGCTGTCAAAACGGCTGGTTGCTTGTTAAATAAATGAGTCTAACATAAATAATTTTTTGTGTTTGAAATATAAATGAACCATACACAAATAACGGTATTTTTTAACATGTCAAACACGAGCAACACGAGTTGAGCCCAGGCTTGCTCGTGTTCTGCTTGTTTACACCCTTGTTCTTAGATTGTCCCTGATGAGTGCTAGAAAATTCGTGGCGGTAGAGTAATGGATTATTGTCTTAGCGTTGCACGAGAATTCAACACACACTCAGATAAAAATGAATCGAGTTGTGATCACACCATAAGTTTTTAAAATGAATCGAGTTGTGATCACACCAGAAGTTTTTAAAAGAAAAACCCGTAAAAAGGGAAAAACCACGGGGTCTAGCCCAGTTGCAAAAATTCACTATAAGTTAATAATTACAAATGTCCCTTGTCCCACAGCCAGTTGTAAAAATTCACTATAAGTTAATAATTACAAATGTCTCTTGTCCCACAGTGCTTTCCACTTTACAACGTCAACTGATGACGTATAGTAAGCGGTGGTTGACGGAGGCCAGCAGTGATCAACGGTAGTTGACGACAATCGATGACAATTGACGGTGGTCGACAGAGGTCAACAGTGGCTGATGACGACGGTGGTGGTAACGGAGGTTAGCGGTGAATGGCGACGATCAGCGATGTCCGGCGGTGGTCGACAGAGGTCAGCGGTGGTTGATAACTGACGGTGGTGGTTGACAGAGGTCAGCGGTGATTGGCGGCTATCAGCGTTGTTCGGGATGCTCGATTTGACTATAAACTCGCTAGATTCGACATCCGTTTGACCTTTCAAATGCCTCAAAAAATCATCCAAAAACGATTTAATGACTTGATCTGGGATTGATTTGACTGGATTGGACTAACTTTGATACCATTAAGTCCGTCTCATCGAGTCGGTCAGTTTTACCCTAACTTTGATACCATTAGGTCCGTCTCATCGAGTCAGTCAGTTTTACCATAAGTTTACTGAAATCGGAGCTCTGGATGAATTTTTATCAAGATTTGAATATTCTTTACTCAAAATATTGCCTCAAGATTCGTGTCGGATGATGAAAATTTGTTGGTGGCGTATCAGTCCCAAATTTAAATTTCTTGTCCTTAATAATCTTCCATTTAAAACTTAAGTCAAATAGTATTTCAAGTTTCTCATATTTGTGTCTCTATTAGTAATGCATAAATTTTGCTTAAACCTTAGAAGCAATATCCCCGATGCAAATGCTTGAATCAATCATGCATGTTAAGACTCTTTGGATCATTAAGTAAAGTTTTCATAAAGTTTTTAATGAGGATTTCTCTTAAGAGTTCAATATCCTTTGAAATGTCTGCCAAACATTGCATTTCCTTTATAATTAAAATTGATTGTTTGTTTTGATGACATTTATAATAGATGTGATATAAAAGGTAAAAAAAAATGAAAAAGCTACAGATGTGAAATGTTATGCTGCAACACAATTATGATAACATTAAATAATTGATCCAATTATCAACTATAATGGCTCTATTCATAAATCAAAGTTGAACAACACTAATCAATTCGACATACAATAAAATGACCCAACTTAGTGCCATGACATGCATTTATAGCATTTTACAAATAGTTACTCCCCTCTTTTTTTACTTAGTAATAACACTTAATTTTCTTAGCAACTCATCTATTATGTTATATCTTTTCAGATAGCACATACTTACTTCAAATTCTCTTAATTGTGAACATAAGTTAATTATTTCAATAAGTACATATCATTTACTTTTATTTCTTATTAAGAATTTTTTTCTTCACCATATTGTAGAGTAAACTAGTGTATTTATTCTGAAATTCAAAACTCTTAATGATTTTACACACATATTCTCAAAATTATGTGTCTATCTTTTTCACGCTAGGTTCTCTCTATTTAGTTTCATGGAATTCCCATTGTATAGCCACTTCCTAAAGCTTTAATTGGACATCTATAATGTTATATGGATGCTTCAAACACTCCTTAACTTTGAATGTTTTTCTTATCCCTTGCTATTTATGACGCTAATTATCCCGAAAGCTCACATGTTGTTAAAGAGTCTTATTCTAGGGGAAAGATTTATAATCGCCTTTCACCACTGTGTACGCCACCAACTCTAAGTCTCTCACTCTGCCATAACATCTGTTTTTTTTTCTTTAATCATGGGTGAGTACTTGAATTTAAGAAGGATGATTGAAAACCCTAAAATTTTAAATTTTACTTAATTGATTGTAAATCAAATATGTCGTTTATTCATAAATAATTATTTTTTTTTCCTTCCTTGACCCTCAGCAGTAATTTCTTTTGGTTGCTAATTAGAAAAAATTAAAAAACATTTAGAAAATATATTGTATATTATAAATTTGTATATCCTCAAGAAAAAGTTTGAATTCACCCCATTTTCAATTTTCTTATATTGTACAATTTTTTTCTCTAATTTTGAGGAAAATATCATTTGTAAATCAATCATAAAGTCATTTTAAGTACAATAAAGGGCATCTAGCTCCAACCCGACAAATTACAAAACTTACTCATAAACTAAGGACATCACAACGTAGCATATGTTTGTTCCCATATCAACTTATGAAATATAGCCAGTGAAGATCCTTTTGGCTTAATTACCTGCTTGAAAGAAGTGTTTATTAATTGTTTCAAGATTCGTGTTATACCTCGAGATATGTGCCAAATGATGAAAATTTGTTGAGGGCATATCAAGAATAATTAACAACTTAATCATATCTCTATTTCATTGTGGCTCAATTTTAGTTCATATCCATTTATCATGACATGCATAGCCATGACTAGCTTGATTCGATATAAAATTGATACAGGATTTGAGATTAGATCAGAATTTGAGCTAAGCTAAGCTCTTATATATAAATTCAAACACGCGCACAAACATACAAACATTCATATGTACATTAGATACATTCAATTAGAAGTCAAGCTAGCTTGATGAGATACAATTTCAGCTCGTCAATTCAAGTCTAATTTGCTGAGTCAAACTTAGCACATTAAGAGCTCGTCGGTTTCAGTATCCAGACTAGTTCTAATTTCAAATGAACCTACCATCAAACCTAACATAATTAGCTCAGCACATGCGCATCTCACCTGTAAAAACTCCATTTTTATTTTTTAATTTATGAAGATCTACATACATGTCTATCAATTCTTATATATTTACATATCTACACAGCAGTTAAACTTTGATTTTTATATATACGTCAGCTTACTTATGCTCTCGTGAAAAGCATTAATACACTTTTAAAAATTTAAACAAGAGTGTTCAGTGGTTCAAATGTGACGTGCTAGAAAATTTGCGGTAGTAGAATAACGGACTATCGTCTTAGCGTTGTACGAAAGCTCGACACACACACAAACAAGAAGTGATGACTCCAGAAGTTTTTACGTGAAAAACCCATAAGGGAAAAACCATGAGTCTGGCCCAGTTGCTGAAATCCACTATTGATTGATGATTACATAAATCCCTTGTCCCACAGACGATAAAGAGTAACTATATTTTTTAGATTACAACGTCGGATAACTACTTCTGGTTGGTGGTGATCGATGGTGGTTAGTAGTGGTCGATGATGGTTGACAGAGGTCAAAGACGGACAACGGTGATCGTCGGAGGTCTGCGGTGGTCGACGACGGAAGTTGGCGATGGTCGACAACAGAGGTCTGCGGTGGTCGACGATGATCGACGATAATGTTGAGTTGCAACTTCTCCTCAAAGTCTCAAGCTCTCTCTCTCTAGACTTCAGCTTCCCCTCATGTGAGGCGTATGAGTCTATTTATAGTGTTCTGGGTGCAATTAATGCAGAAATATGAACAATTTTGATCGGACGGTTCAGAGAGTTTCCTTCAAACATGTGGTGTTTAATGAACATTTGATTGTCTTAACGATGTCGGAATTAAGTGATCTTGAGCTCGTTAGATTAGTCTTGTCGAGATGCTTGATTCGAGTATAGGCTTGCTAGTGTCGACATATGTTTGACCGTCCAAATGTGTCCAGAAATCTTCCAAGGGTGATTTAATGACTTGATCTGAGCTTGATTTGACTCGGATTGGACTAATTTTTATTCATTAGGTCTGACTCATCGAGCCGGTCAGTTTGATTATACATTAGTTGAAATCAGGACTCTGAATGAATTTTAATCAATATTTGAATTTTTCTTGCCCAAAATATCATATCGGGCTTCGTGTCATGTCTCGAGATTTGTGCCGGATGATGAAAATTTATTAGTAGCCTATAAAAAATGTAAAAAGTAAAAAATTGCTCTCTGATAAGTGAAAGCATAGGAGTTGGGTGGCATGTACGTAAATGCCCCCTTATTCAATAGCGTGAGATGAAAAAAGTTGCCCTAATCCTCATTTCCATCCACGCAATCTCATCAATTATCTTCCCTCATCTTCCACTAAGACGCTCTCCTCCCATTTACTACTTACTTAAATTGAGAAAAATCCAAATCAATCATGTCCCAAACATCCTTTTCCCTCTTCACAAACGCAAGAAAATTACAGACGGCAAGTGATGTGGAAATATATGCGTTCTTCTTCTTCCTCCTCATCTTTTTATTTAATGGAATCAAATAGTCGGCGTTCACTTTCATGATAAATGTGCTCTTCGAAAGGAACACATCCGCTTTCTTCCACTGTTCATCAGGCGCGCATGCTTTATACTTTTCTTATTCTTTCTTTGCTCATGAACCCTAACCCTAAAAGAAGCTCCATGCTATAAGCTATGGCAGGTGGGAGCTGATGTGGCGTTTGGCTGTTTATGTAAGATGCCAGTCTGTGTTCTTTCGCTTTCACTTATTATTTTTGGAGTTTTATCTCTATTGCTTTATGTTCATTTGCCTAATGGTCTCAAGTCTTGTCCATGCTTGTGTTGCCGTGTCGTGATGTAATGATAATACTAAATTTAGGGCCCGTTTGGGGCATCTTATTTGGTGCGGTGGCATTTTGAAAATGCACCTAACCTGTTTGGGTAAACTGTGTTTTGACAGCTTATGCGTTTTCAAAACGTAGAAAACAACGTTTTCACAGGTGCGGTGGCAGCTTATTGGCAACAGTCTGTTTTTTTCAAAAAAATAAAAATTTGTAATAATCACCGCACCTAGCTTATCAGCAGATTATTCAATAAGCTACAGCTGCCCCAAACATACCCTAAGTTTTAGATCATTATTTATGTGAAAAGTAAGTGGGAAATTTACATGTCTCAAACTATAGCACTCAAATATTTAAGGACATATAAAAAATAATATTATTATCACTTTTAAAAGAGAAATATATGTTTTTAAACTAAATTCTTATATATTTACATATCTAAAAAATAACATTTTATATTTATATACATACCACTCGACTTTTTTAAAGAAATAAAATCCATCTTCTCATGCCTAGCTGTGAAAAGTTTTAAAATCAATATAGCAATAGATATAAATATTCCATTGAACGAGCGATATGTAAATAAATAAAAGTTGTGTGATATGTATGTAAATTTTCCAAAAAGGTAATATTGGAGGGTGACTTGCGGTTTGATTTCAACAACAGGACCACATAGAAAATTATTCACACCTCAAATTCAGCGTGTCATGTTTGGGCCCTCCATCACATTGTATCTGTATCTTTCTTTCTAGTTAATATATTAGCCTTTTTGGGCTTTCAAAAAAAAGTATATATATATATATATATATATGTTATATAGGTTCCTAGATATTCATGTTGATTTTAATCAAATAAAAAATGACTCATATGGTGATTTGTACGTTTGCTAGAATTCAAATAAAATTTTTCTTAGGGCTCAATTGATTGCTTTTTTCAATACATATCATTATCACCAAGTGGATGTGTGAAAAATATAATTATTTTGTTTGATAGTTGGATTTATAAAACGATGAATCAGGGACAGAGCCAGGTTATATTTAGGGTGGGTAGTTGATTCCCTGAAATTTGATATTTCTCTATATAAATCTGATTAAATCTGTTCACGCAGCTATCTCTAAATAAATATAAAATAAAAATATTTGATAAGTTATAGGTCCTCCATAAAATAAAATATTTCCATAGAACTTATAGGTGCTCCATGTGATCATTCTTTAAAGGGTGGGACAAATTATTTGTACATACAAACTACTCAATATCATTTTTATTTGTTTGATACTTTTTCAACCATTTTATTTCTCATATTTTTTGTTAAATTTTACTGTAGTTGGTCACATAGACCGCAGTGATGAGTTGTGATGATGTCAGTAGGCTATAGAGGCCATAGAGACCATAGTTGGGAGCTAAACAAGTTGGGATAATTTATGTGGGTCGCAGAGGTCAGATTTTAGAGTTGTATGAGTTGTGATAATGTTTGTGGCCTATGGAGACTATTTTTGGGAGTTGCACGAGCTAGGATAACTTATGTGGGTTGCAGAGGGCTGAGTTTGGAGTTCATTATCAATTAAGGATCATTTATCTCGTAACTGGTCACGTGAGCTGTCATAAATGTATGTAGGTCATAAATGTCATAGTTGGGGGAGCTGCACAAACTGTGATAGTGTTTACAACAGGCAAAGGCCGGAGTTCGAAGCGACATGATCTGTGAGTCATGTAGGCCATAATGATCATATATGTAGTAATAACGAGTTATGATAATTTCTATATGCCATAAAGGGTTGAGTTGGGAATTGCATTAGTTGTGTATCATGAAGGTTGTAGTTAATCACTTAGTCTGTAGTGGTGAGTTGCAGTAAATTTCGTACTTCGTAGAAGCCTAAGTTGGGAGCTGCATGGGCTCTAAACCACATAGGCCATAGTGGATCACATAGGACGTGGTAGCGAGTTACACTGTACTTGGAGTGCGGTGTTGCACCGCCTTCAGGGTGCTTCACAACATCGCTTTTGGGGTGGTGTCATCAAACCTATTCGGGGTGCATTCTTGCATTGTCTTTGGGATGACATTGTTACGTCACTTTCGAGTGCGTCGTTACACCATCTTTAACGTAGTATCATTATGTTGTCTTCGGGGTGAATTCTTACACCATCTTAAGGGTGCATTACTGCATCGCCTGATGCTTCATTACTTCATAACGTACACCAAGATTTCGTAGTGCAAGTCGTAATTAAGCTCCTTATTTTATTGGTCCTTCTTTAGGCTCAGGTCCAGGTCTCCTCTCAAGCGAGGGGGTGGGGGGTGGACTCCATTTTGTAGAGTATGAGAGAAACCTCTCTACAAGTAAAGAAAGAATTCAAACCACTCCATCGAACAACCCAGAGAGATTCGATCTCTCAACCGGATGACATTTTGTAGACATGTGAGTGTCTTTATGATGTCAAAATTGATTGATCTTAGACTTGTTCATTTTGCTTTGTTGAAACACTCAATTTGATTATAAATTTGTCAGCTTCAAAATCCATTTGACATTCAAATTCAGCACTGCAAGTTCCTAAAGTTGGCTTAACAACTTGATCTAGACTTGATTGACTCGACCAACTTTATTGTCATTAGGTCTATTTCGTCCTGCCAATTATTACTATGAATATAAGTTTGTTGAAATGAGAATTCTATATAATTTTTAATTGGAATTTAAATATTTTTTATTCACAAATTATACTAAATTTTATGTCACGTCTCAAGAGTCATATTGATATAGCTATAGCCATATTATTTCAAACTTGTCTCTAAAAGAGTAAAAGCACTTAAATCATAATGAATTTACGCAATCAAATTGGTCCCTAAAATGACAATACATGATTTAAATTAAAATAAAATTCATTTACAAAAAAAATAATAATAATTAATAACGATACATTTATATTTTTACTAATTTGCACCAACACAAAGATAAAATTCAGTATTTCAAAGAAGAGATCTTTTTCGTTTTCCTTTTTCCTCAATCCAAGAAACATTTCAAATCCCTGCCTTCTTATCATTATCTACAGTCCCCACTATACTTCACCACCACTCAAAAAAAAAAAAAAAAAAAAAAAAAAAAAGAAATTACAGAACACCCTAAACCCTAAATTCAGATCGGCGAGATCCGAACATCTCCTCGAGAACGATAACAATCGCCATCGCAACGGCAACATCGAATCCCGGCTGCACGACCAGCCGGAAAACATCGAGCCCAAACGCCGCTCCGCCGACATCCTCCTTTCGCCGAATCTCCGCCACCACCCGCCGCCTCCCGTCGTACACCTGACAGCAACGCTGCGCATAGAAACCTTCCACCTCGAACCCCTCTCCGCCGTCGCTCCCACTCGCCGTCCCCGGTGGCGAAACGCACGGACTCACGTGCGCCAGCGACTTGGAATTGGATTGAATGAATTTCACGTACTTTCGAACGGAGAAGAGAGGATTCGCAGCCTCCTCGCCGTCGTAGATCTGCCAGTGCTCCCCCAAGCTCAGTTTCTGCGCACACAGAGTGGAATCTGATTCACTGATTCATGATTCGTTGAAGCCCCCATGGGGACCATTTATATACACACCTCATAATTTTTATATTTACATATCTAACATCTAAATAATTTTTATTTACATGCATACCATCAAAAGCTTTCATACAGAACAAAAATATCATCATTTTAGCTTAAAAAAAGAAATATACTTTTTTTTTTTTATAATAGCATTTTAGCTTAAAAAAAGAAATATACTTTTTTTTTATAATAAGGATGCAAAAAATAAAATTTGGGACAAGATCATCGAAAATATTGATATTTACAAATTAATCATCCAAATATTTTTTTTTGAACTACCAAAACTAAGTATTTAGATGTGTCAATCATGATCAAACTATTGAGAATTTGATATAAATGAAAAATATTGACTGAGATTTTATCATGAATTTTGATATTTGAGCGAGAGTTTAAAAATTGGATGAAAGAGGGTGATTTATTTATAAAAACGAAGTTACGAAGTTTCGGGCCATCTCTGTGTAATTGTCCTTTAAAATTTAGGTGTTAAAAATGCGAATACAAAGAACTTAAGTGCTATGTATGCAATTCTTCTTTTGAAATAAGCAGTAAATATTTTAAATTCAGATATAATAATTTTTCGTAGGATTATAATCTGAAAATTAAATTTTGCTAGAATAAAATTTGAAAATAATTTAAGATGATAACTATTAATAAAATAAATTATTAAAATATTCGAATAAAATTCCTAAATTCCGCAAATATTATGATTTAATAAATCAGAATCCATCGAAACACTTAAATTTAAAATATCCAAAAATCTAATTTGACTAATAATATGAAATTAGAATACTGATCTATTAACCTTTCGACGAATAGTGAGGCGAGAGTTGCCGGCGGCGTCCATGAGGACGATCTCGCCCTTATTGCCGGATCTCGCGTACTCGTCAACGCGGAAGACCAGATTCCCCTTCGAATCGAATACGGTGAACCCGTTGCAGTTAAAAAGGAGCGACTTTAGCCATACGGTCAGCGCCGCCGGTGCCGCCTCCGCCGGCGACGGGGGGGGGACGGGAGGGGAGAACAGTCTCGATCGCTGGCGGTCGACAGCATTGGTTCGGGGGATTCCACTACGGATGAAACGTTGGGGTGTACTCTTTTCGTCATACTCTACCAGCGGCGAACAGTCGGTGGCCGGAGAAAGGGGGCGGCGGTGAGCTCACGGAGCTCGTAAGCTGTTGTCGGATGAGTGGCCTGTTGTCCTATATTTATATTTGCTTGTGGTCGAAAATGCCCCTCCGAATTCGCACGTGCAAAATGCTGGTGGGGGTGGCTAAGGTGGAAAAGTTTTGGAAATTTGGAGCGTTAATTTCGCCAAATTATAAAATAAATTTATGAGATATTTAAAATGGAACAGAGTAAAATAGTACAGCGTTAATTTCGCCAAATATTTAAAATAACTTTATAGAAGAACCTAACGAGTGATGCCATCAACAAATCATGATTTATAAGATACTTGAATCATTTTTTTCATTTGGCATTAGATTTTTTTAAAACTATTTTAACCTTCAAAATATCCATTATTTTAATCATTGTGTGTCGAAAAAGTCAGTGATAATATAATGATTTATTGTCTGAATATTGTATGAAAATTCAACACACATTAACATAAGAAAATATAGAGAAGTTACACATCAATTTTTTTTACATGGAAAACTCTGAACTGAAAAAACCACGAGGCCAAGTACAAGTAAAGTAATTCACTCTATGTTTGTAAGACTGGGATATACTCTTCTGTTACGAAGAGTGAAATGAGGTGATAATCTTATACCAAAAATTGTACTTGTCTTTGTACAGCTATTAAAATATAAGTGTTAGAAAATTAAATAACAGCAGTAGTATAGCTACAATTGTTAAAAGTGGATAGCTACAATTGTTAAAAGTGGTGGTTGTCGATGCCATGTAGTAGGCAAGACAAGCAGTGGTCGACGGTTGTTGGCCGCTATGGAGGCCAGTGGTTATTCGTCGGGTCTTCTCTTCAATAGAGGATTTAGGATTTCACTTCTTTTTCTTTTTTTTGCCCTCCCCTTAGTGAAGAGACGTGACATATTTATAATTTTTTGACGCCATGTAGTAGGCAAGACAAGCAGTGGTCGACGGTGGTTGGCCGCTATGGAGGCCAGTGGTTATTTGTCGGGTTTTCTCTTCAATAGAGGCTTTAGGATTTCGCTTCCTTTTCTTTTTTTCGCCCTCCCCTTAGTGAAGAGATGTGACATATTTATAATTTTTTGAGAAGGTGCAATTTGTTCTTTTGGAGCATAACCTTTATACTTACCTAATTGAATGATTCATGTTGTTTCTCTTGATTATAGGCAATTTTTTAAGATTTGGTTGTCTTAATATCGTCAAATTTCAGCCATCTTAAGCTCGCTGGATTCCACTCGTCAAGGTGCTTGATTCAAATATAAGAATGTCAAATTTGAAGTTCATTTAACCCTTAATTTGACAAACCTAAGCATCCAACTATGCTTTAATGACTTAATATGTGCTTGATTGGACCCAAATTGAACCAATTTTATAGTTGTTAAGTACATTTTGTCGTGAAGCTCAAATCTATTCGAAATTTGCTGAAATGAAACCTAGTTGATCACGACTTTGAATTAGAATGATTTCTTATAAAAAACATCGAGATTCATGCCTGTACAAAAATAAATTATTGATGACATATTAGCGAGTAAAATAATCAAAACAAATTTTTATATTTATATCACTCTTTTCATTTCATCTAGTGAGTAATTTTCTAGACGTAGATCTAAGGGTCAACAAACTTAAATTTATTGTCATTCTTTTTCATTTTTTTCAATGATAGGCATTAGTGACGACTCTTGATCTCCATGGCAAGTAGTGCTACTCAACTGATCACCTTTCTCTTGCATTTTAACAAAGCCCGATCTCATCGTAAAATATAAAATAATTATCTTCGATCACACTCCAACTCAGATCTATAGTCTTAGAAGTTCTTAATATAATTCTCTCTTGAAGCTTAGAGTAGTTTGTCATGTTAACATTCAAACTAATTATTTGGATACATATAAGAATTCTATTATTCTAACATAAGTTTTAGATGTATATTTTTATATGATGACTCAAATTCTATGAAGTGTGAATTCTTTATAGTTGTTGAATCAAAAAGTGTCATATGAATCACACCCAAAGAATAGTGTAGCATGAGATCAAAGAGAAGATGAGAGAGAAAGAGAGAGAGATAGAATGCCCAGTAGAATAAATTTTTTAGATTATTTATCACTGAAGCATTAGCTTTTTAGCTAACCCCTATTTTTTCAAGCAAGAGAGGTACCAGAAGTACAATTACCCGTTTGCTTCTTTTTAGTATGGGTACTACAGAGTAATTTAGCCATAAATAAATAAATAAATATGTAAATTAATAAATAAAAAAAGGCTTCAACTCGACTCTTCTCAGCGCTCGGCCGCTTGCGACCATTAATCCTTGGATTGATGAAGCCCACTTAGAAGACTTCCTTGGGTTCAGGTAGCAGCTCTACTATAACTATCTCTCGGTCAGCCAAATCTTTTGCTCGACCGACCTTGTTGGCTGATGTCGATCGACTTTGGATCCTGCTCCGAGAGAAATGAGGCGATGTACATTTCTGCCTCAGGTGTCGTGTGCCTTGATCATCGACGGGCCCTCTTTGACCATGCCTCTTTTGGTTCGTTAGATTTTCTCAATATTTGCAAAGTTAACATATAGGTTCCATGCATAATTTTTAATGTTTGACACGTCATTAATATTTTTCCATTAAGTATTCTATATCAAACAAATATGGGGGGATAACTTGACACTTAATATGAATCAGCTGAACAGTATGACATTCTCTAAACTCAAGTGCAATGACATGTCTTTATGAAAAGTAATAAAATTCATCTCATGTAGATGATCTTCAATGTTTAAAACTTTTTGAAGATGATGTACTCATGCTAGGTTTATTGACCCCTCACAATGACCTAAACTCGGATGTCCTTTTCTTAAGATGCTTCGTTGTTTAATTTTATGTCTTCTACTTTTTCACATACACTATATCTTGTTGGATGTTAAATCCAACATTGCTAGTGGACTAACACCAATAAAATGTAGGATTGAGCCTAAGAGCACACGTAAAAGGGGGAGAAGCTTTTGTTGAGAGATTCACATTTTGATAAGTTTAAAGCAATTTCATAGACACTTTATATAGAGAGAGAAGGGGTGAGAGCCAAATTAAGGGGGGGGGAGAGAGAGAGAGAGAGAGGAAGAGAGAGAGAGAGAGAGGGAATAAATAGACTTTGTCAAATAATCCATTGCGGTGAATGACATTATTATAAGAATTGTTATGATATGTTATGTACTCTATAAGTTTGGTTGACTACTGTTTAATAAGCAACAATGCTTACAAATTTTAAGTGTTCGAGTTTGGGCTGTAATCAAGCTGAGCCGTGCCTAGCCGAGTCGAGTATATCATAGTTTGAACTTGGCTTGGCATAATTATAAGTTATTCATGATCGACTTGAGCTTGTGTCGAGTCTCATATATTGTTCAAGCTTGACCTGTTTAAATTTTTCAATATTTGAACTTGATTCGTACTTGATTTGTTTATGATAAGTGAAAGAGTTTTTAAACGAACTAAAAATTCAAATGAATATCTAGATATTCAAATAAAAAAAATATTGTTCAAGCTTGACCTGTTTAAATTTTTCAATATTTGAACTTGATTCGTACTTGATTTGTTTATGATAAGTGAAAGAGTTTTTAAACGAACTAAAAATTCAAATGAATATCAATAAATAATTTTACCAATTTGATAGCAACTATTAATTCATTGATTATAAACTCTAAATCCTATAATATCTTAAATGTTGTTTCTCCTCTATTTTGTCCTAAATTCCTCACTTAGGGGATGTATAGTAGAATGATTTGTGCAACATTTAAGCATGTTTTAACTTGAATCCTACCAAACAACTAAAAATGACAACTTTAAAACTTACAAAAACTTAACATCTAAGTATTATATGTCATATATGATACAACCTATCAACACATAAGTTAATATTCTAGCTAATTAAATTTTATTTAAATAATATCTCATATATGATATGAGCTATCATCTAACTTAATATCGAGTATTTAACAAGTTACTTGTTGAACAACAAATGAGTTTGTTCGTATACATAAATGAACAAGTTCGATTATGTTCATGTTTAGTTCATATAAGCATCAAGCTTTTAAAAATTGTTCAAACTTGTTTATTTACTGATTTGAATGAGCATGATCGAGCCCTAAAACCTAAACTCGGGAAGACCGATCAAACCTAAAGTGGGTGATCAACAATGTCACATGGCATCGATATAACCCAAAGGATCGGGCCGCCCCAGGCTAATCACCCACTCTTTTGGGTCTGACTGATTGACTTGGATCGGTCGGCCACTCTCTTAGGTTCGACTGGCCGCCACGACCCGATCAACTGATCACATGCATGCTTGTATGCTTTTGCATCATACTACATGTTTATTTGTGTGTGTATGAAAATTTTATATTGACTTGACGTCTACAATTTTTCATTGCATGTGAAATATTTTTATCTTATATGCTTTGCATGTGGCACATTTCATTGTGTTATTGAACATCTATGTCTGGGTGTCTCGTTGAGCGCCGCCCACGTGGTGTCTCTTTAAGCACCCACGCTTGTGAGTGTTTTTTCTACATACGCCATCGTATGCAGAAAGAATAGACACTCGCACATTTTGCAAGGAGATGACTCACATGTATAGCCACATGCCTCGTTCCCCACGACACTACCCATAATGTTGAAGGGTATTTCACATCGTATTGAATACGAGTTATGCTTCATAGCCACTGAACTTGTATGAGAAACAATGTTTGTCCACCTAAGTATGTGATTCACACCCATATGAATCATATGATTTAATATGTATGGCAATTTGCAACGTTGCATTTTTCGTCGTTTGAATGTCATTTGCATGTTATATGCTCGAAATTTATCATATGTATGTTGTATGTTGTTTGTTTGTCATTTCTGCATATTATATGCTTGACTTTTCTCATGTGCTTATTGTATATCTTGTATGTTTGCATGTGCGCTCATGAGTGCCTCTTGAGTAAGGTGTAAATTCTCATTTTAGGTACCCTTTTACTCGATGCAATTTCACTCATAGTCGGTGCCTACTTGTCGCATGACACCCTGGGTCCTCTGGGAAGGTGTAATTCATTTCCATAGGTAGCCTATTTTACCTATACATCTCGTTCGCGTGTGTCATGTTGCATGTGGACATTCTTACATTCATTTGCATAATGTGTGCTTCGCCCTTTCGAGTGTCCATTATGATTGCTTCGTGCTTCGATTGAATAATCACAATGTGACCGTTTTACATGTTTATATGTTTACCCAATTGCCTTGTGGCTTAACATATTCATTAGAAGAATGACTCATTTGTTGGCCATGGTACTCAAAAGAGCATTGCCTACGATGATATATCAGCTAGTATTGCAAGTTTCTTTATCACGAGCAACATACAGTATGACTGTGCTAAAGATGAAAGAACTCTAAAGTACATCACTTGATTATCTCAGATCAGCTGTCAGCGGTCCACTATTTTAAAGTATAAAAAATGAATATTTTTCTACTATTAGTATTATCCACCTTACTTTAAAATTGATATATGTTAGGTCATATATGAGGCCACATTTTTTAAATGTCACCCTTTTCTTGTGACGTATTTTAGATCATTTGGATCTTTAGAATGAGACCTGTGTGGTGACCACGTCAAAGTCATATGGTAACTGAAGATTTTACTCTAAGTACTTAGATGCTGGTTATGACATTTTTTGTTAGATGTTGTACAAATCTAGGGCTAGGTTGTTAAGTAATTTTTTTGTGTGGCACCTGACTATTGTTATGTGTTGGCTTGGTTGTCCAAGCAATGTGCCTTTTTCTATCCGAGCTTTTGGTGTGTTTGCATGTTCTTTGATTTTGATATGCATGATAGTATATCAATTCAGTCTTCTACAGAGAGTCATGCCTTATATACACACACACATATGAGAAGAATCATGTGATGATTTTCATGATAACTATTATTTGTAGACCTTGCTTAACTCCCCCTTTAAGCATAGTTCAAACACATTGTATGTAGATAGATTTATGTGCTAACATATTTTCATGCATGCGGGTCCTTTTTCTTAATTTTTCTTAGTACTTTTTTGAGTTCTTAGAAGAGTTTTGTAGTTAAAGTAAGATATGAAAACATGTTCCGAGGCATTTTGGTACGAAACCATGTGACGAGGGACCATGAGCAACAGCTCGTGCACCGTATATTAATTTTGCATTTGATATTGATGTACAAAATTAGGACCAGACATGTATATATTGAGTCTGACCACACTTTTTCTTTTCTGGGATATGTTGCCCACCCAACGACAACGATCTTTTCTTATTATTTTGGTTTGACTTGTTATCATGTTTTCTATTGCATGTTTGTATGCTTGAAATAAATTTTGTTGTTTCATTCTATGGTTTGTCTGGGAATGACGAATACAATATAGGATTTTTAGGATTTAAAACTCTAAATACAAAATCTAAATAAAATATTCAAGATAATAAAAATTTAGGATTAAAATATTCAGAACTTTAAAATTTTCACTTTTACTTTCTTGTATGACCTTTGAGTCGGATTTTAAATGAGCTTCATGCATGGTTATCACCCTAGTCACAATTAATAGGGCATCCACACTTAGGATTGTGGCACATAACTACATATTATTTGTATATCCCAAGGAGAAGCCGTCGAGCTTTTTCAACCCGACTGGTCCAACATAGATTTCTACTTAATTGGTTTTCTAGTGCATTTAGGGTGACCCAGACGGGAATAAGCCCTTTCGTGGAAAGTATTTCAGCTTTGTAGCTGGTCCTCTTATTTCCTTTCTTTCCACGGCATCCGCTCCACTTCGACGGATTTAGGTCCCACCTCTTGGAGCTTCACTTTATAATTATAGGATAAAGTTTCATTCCTTTGACCTTAGGGCTACCGAGGTCCGCGTAGACGACGTAATTCACAAATTGCTGACTAAGGATCTCTAGACGTGTTGGATCGACTATCTTCACAGCCACGTAGACTTAGGGTCCTGATAGTTTAGGATGATGGGCTTGTGGTACCCCGACCCGACTATCTCTACCTCTTAAGATTACTCTACCCTTCCTCTTACTAAGCCACTTTGAGCCCTGCGCTCCTTTGACTTCGTTGATATCATCTTGACGCTTGATTACCGATGAGTTGTCGTCTGTTTGGGATACAGTGATTCACGCTTTGACCTTATCGCTCGATGAGCTCTATCGTATAAGGATATCCTTGTCGAGTTGATTATGGTTATTTGTAGGTTATGATGCGAACGAGCCGCTACCAATTTGGGATGTGAAAGACTCACATTATGTTTTGTGGCTTAGCTAGAGCTTCGAAAGCATCAGGGTTTTCCCATAAGAATTAACCATTATTTGATGGCATATTCTCTATTTTAATGATAATATAAGCGATATTTCTTTTATCGAGAGTATTCTTGGATATCCCCCAAAATGTAATTAACTAAAGGGATATGTTCTTCT